TATATTGACAGAGAACTTCCAGAAATGCAAGCTGGATTCAGAAGAGGATGTGGAATGAGGGATATCATTGCTGATGTCATATGGATCTTGGCTCAAAGCAAAGAATACCAGAAAGACGTTTACTTGTGTTTTATTGACTATGCAAAAGCATTTGAATGTATGGAATTCCAGAACACTTCATTGTACTCATGAGGAACCTGTACATAGACCAGGAGGAGGCTGTCATTCAAACAGAAAAAGGGAACACTACATGGTTTAAAATCAAGAAGGGAGTGCATCAGGGTTGTATCCTTTCACCATACTTACTCAATCTGTATGCTGAGCAAATAATATGAGACTATATGAAGAACGTGGCATCAAGATTGGAGGAAGAATCATTAACAACCTGCGATACGCTGACAACAAAACTTTGCTTGCTGAAAGTGAGGATGACTTGAAGTACTTACTGATGAAGACTGAAGAATACAATCTACAGTACGGATTACATCTCAATATAAACAAAACAAAAATCTTCATAACTAGTCCTACAAGCAACATTACGATAAATGGAGAAAAGAGATTTCACATTGCTTGGTTCTACAATCAATGCCAATGGAATCAGCAGTCAGGACATCAGACGATGTATAGCACTGGGCAAATCAGCTACAAAGGACCTCTTTCAAGTGCTGAAGAATAAAAACGTCTCCTTGAGGACTAAGGTGTGCTTGACACAAGCCATGGTATTTTCAATTGCCTCATATGCATGTGAGAACTGGACAATGAATAAGGAGGACCAAAGAAAAGTTGATGCTTTTGAGCTGTGGTGTTGATGAAGAATGCTGAAAGTACCATGGACTGCTAAAAGAACTAACAGGTCTGTACTGGAGGAAGTGCAGCCAGAGTGCTCCTTTGTGGCGAGAATGGCCAGACTTTGTCTCACATACTTTGGTCATGCTGTCAGAAGAGACCATTCCCTGGAGAAGGATGTCATGCTTGGTAAGGTAGAGGGACAACAAAAGAGGGGAAGGCCCTCAAGGAGATGGATTCAAGTATAGCAAGAATCATGGAGCTGGCTCAGGACTGGTGTTTCGTTCTGCTGTGCATAGGGTCACTATGAGTCAGAGATAACTCGACGGCACCTAACAACAACAACTGGTGGGAGGTACTGCTAGTACTACTGTAGTTTGTTGCTATAGTTTATTAAATTGATGGTCCCCAATGAACCACACCTCCTGGTAGCCATGCCCTTGAATACTCCCCCCACAATGATTCTGGGCTTGGCTATGTGACTTGCTGTGACATCAGCAAATGTGATGCAGAGGTTTTCTAAGTCTCTGCACATTGGCATTTGTCCTCTTGCAACCCAGCAACCATGAAAAAGGCCAAGACATTGAGAAGCCACCTTTCAATCCACTTACCACTGAATTCAGCCTCTGGGGAACACCAGCAGGACTGCCTGGCTAACCCACAGATTACGCAAAATAATAAATCATTGTTTTAAGGCACTGATTTGCAGTGGTCTGTTATATAGCAATAGACAACTGAAACAGCTACCCACATTCATAACTAAAGGTAATGCTACATTTCAGTTGGTGATTAGTGAAAATAAAGACTTAATTTTTCCCAACTGGACTTCTGGGACCTCCTGAATTCTATCCACAGATCCTTCGGAGGGCTGAGAGGACTCTAGGCTAAGAACTCTTGGTTAGAAGGAGTACACTCACTCTCCTTTTTATTGCCATAATATACTGTTAGTACCCAGAGTTAAAATTAACACAGAAATCCTTCATGGCTGTTGCTGTAAATTTAAATACGAGCTGAGCTCCTAATACATAATAGGTATCCAATACAAATTTATCAAATGAAAGTTGCTTATGGATCTGTAGTCCTCAAATTGGGAGCTACCTCAAAACCAAAGCACATATGCCTACTCCTCACTTACCGACTATTTCACTATCTGACATTTTGCATTTATGATAAAAGCAAAAAATCTATTATCCTATTACTTTGCACATTAACAAGCTAATACAAAAACAGTTGCAGCAGTACGTCAATAGGGAACTGCCAGAAATCCAAACTGGATTCACAAGAGGACATGGAACAAGGGATGCCATTACTGATGTCAGATGGATCTTGACTGAAAGCAGTGAGTACCAGAAAGATATTTACCTTTTGACTGTGTGGAACATAACAAATTATGGATAACATTGAGACAAACAGGAATTCCAAAACACTTGATTGTGCTCATTCGGAACCTGTATATAAACCCAGAGGCAGTCATTTGAACAGAACAAGGGGATACTGCTTGGTTTAAAGTCCGGAAAGGTGTACATCAGGGTTGTATCCTTTCACCATACTTATTCGATCTGTTTGCTGAGCAAATAATCCAAGAAGCTGGACTAAATAAAGAACTCAGCATCAGGATTGGAGGAAGGCTCATTAACAACCGGCGATTTGCAGATGATACAATATTGCTTGCTGAAAGTGAAGAGGACTTGAAGTACTTACTGATGAAGATCAAAGACTTTGGCCTTCAAATGGATTATATCTCAACATAAAGAAAAATTCTCACTACTGGACCAGTAAGCAACATTATGATAAACAGAGAAAATAGTAAGCTTATTTCATTTTATTTGGATCCACAATCAATGCCCATGGAAGCAACAGTCAAGAAATCAAATGATGTATTGCACTGGGCAAAGGTGTTGAAAAGATCTTTTTAAAGTGTTAAAAACCAAAGATGTCACTTTGAGGACTAAGGTATGCCTGACCCAAACACAGTATTTTCAGTTACCTCACATGCATGTGAAAGACGGACAATGAGTAAGACTGAAGAACGGATGCCTTTTAATTATAGTGTTGGTGAAGAATATTAAATATACCATGGCCTGCCAGAAGAATGAACAAATCTGTCTTGGAAAAAGTACAGCCACAATTCTCTTTAGAAGCAAGGATGGTGAGATTTCATCTCACGTATTTTGTACATGTTATCATGAGGGACCACTCCCTGGAGAAGATCATGCTTGGAAAAATAGAGGGTCAGCAAAACAAAAAAGACCCTCAATGAGATGGACTGGCACAGTAGCTACAACAATGAGTTCAAACATATCATCAATTGTGAGAATGGTACAGGACCCAGCAGTGTTTCATTCTGTTGCACACAGGGTCACTATGAACCAGAACCAACTTGGTGGTACCTAACAACAACCATGGTTGTCTGGCAGAAATGAATGCCAAGGTGCTGGGGGAGAGTAACACTGGCTGTGATGGTCAAGGTTATGGGTCAACTTCTCAGTGTTCTGGAAGTTATGTAACAATGCAGTCATCCTCTATTTTCACATAACAACCTGATCTATGGAACCTAACCATGTCAGTTAAGAGTACATGTACTTAGATGGCACTCTCTCCAAGTGTTTTAAACATATTAACTTATTTACTCCTTATAAAAAACCCAATCAAGTAGCTGCTATTACCTCAATTTAACTGATAAGTAACAGGCACAGAGAGGTTAAGTAACTTGCCCAAGGCCACACAGCCGGAAAGTGGCAGTGCTAGGATGGAAAGGCAGAATCCATGTTCTGATTTTACAGCCTTTACTTCTGCACTCAAAGCACATTACAGGAGCTCAATAAAATTTTAAAACTAGTACAATTTTGAGAGGAGCTCTGGTAGCAGAGTGCCTAAGGCACTTGACTGCTAACCAGAAGGCTGGCGGTTCAAACCCACCAGCCACTCCTCGGAAGGATGGTTGGGCAATCCTACTTTCGTAGTGATACTGCCTCGGAAACCCAAGGAGGGGTCGCTATGAGTCGGGGCTGACTCGACGGCACATAACAACAACAACAACAACAATTTTGAGATTTCATTGGCAATATTTTTAGTATCACTCGATGATTCAATTTTGTAATTTTTGGTAGCCTTTGACTTGCTTCCTGTGACAAAAAAAAAATCTTTTTTTTTAATTTAGTAGAATAATAGCTTTAGGCTAAAAAAGCAGGTTCTCACAACAAAGTTTTCACTGTAAAAGTCAATTTCTTCCAAAAGACACGATTTCATAAAATATAAATAAAGCAGTCTATTATTTTTATCAATAAATTCCTCCTTATGCAGCTATTCTCATGTCAGCCTCCCCCACTTCCACATACACCTGGTTCTGAAACCTGACCCAGCTTGGCAATCAAAGCCGAATCCTGCAGTACGCGGAGCTGGCCTCGTCCTACTCACACTCCCAAGCGGACACCAGCGATAGGAAGGGGGGTGCGTACTTTTAAGTTTTCAACGTGTTTTATTCACCAAAGCACGATCCAAAGGGCTGCCCCCACCCAACTCAGGGTTTCGAGAGCCTCGGTCCGAGCTTAGGATGTCCCATGCGCGCCTGGGATGCGACTGCGGGCTCGAACTTCCGCCTGGCAGCCGCCCGCCCCACGCGGATTGGTGAATGAACCGCGGAGCCGAGACACAGCCAGTCTGAGGGCAGGAAAAAGCCCCCAGGCGAGCAAGGCCTGGTCCCCGGAGAGACCCACGAGAGCGAGAGGAGGGTTCCGTGCGGCCGGGAGGGTGCGGTGACAGTTGTGAACCGGTTCCTTGCTCTCACCTTGAACATGTCGCTGGCAGCCGCGGCTCCGGCGGGGTCACCCCGGCCTTGGCCCCGCCCACTAGAGAGAGGCGGCTACGGCGGCCCGGTGGGGCCTGGTTTCCTCCCGACCGCGAATGGACTGCGGTGCGGGTGATGGCTGTACTGCCGACTGGATCCGGCGAAGGCTTAGCTAACCACTCTGGGATAGAAGCAACGTCGCTGAGCTACCGCGAGTCAGGCCTAGCAGCCAGCGAACACACGCCCCGCCCTCCTCGAGGCTCCGCCCCTGCGCAGGCTGTTGCTAGGCAACGGGAAAGCGCGGCACAGTGTGGGAGGAACGCGGGGGCGCGCGGAGGGAGCCGCCCGGCATCGGCTTTCTAGGCCGCCGCCATTGGGAACTCTGAGGTGTGGGACGGAAATCCTGTGCGCGGGGACGGCCGGGCGGGGGCGCTCGGAGGGTCTCAGGCAGCTTCGAAAGCTTCACAGCCGGAAGCCGTCAGGCTCTGAGGCCTGGATTTACCTCACAAAGGTTTTCAGGTTTTTCCAGCGGGCTTGTGATTTCTAAGGTTTTAAATTTAAATGAATTTGCCACAACCTGTAGTCTTGAAAGGCATTTTTTTTTTCTTTTTAAGATACTTAAATGTTAAGTCCCTTACTGGGAATCATGTTTGTCCCGTAATAACAGTAGAAATAGATAATAACGGTAATAATTATCTTATTAACAAGAATAGCAAACACTTATACAGCTCTCACAAGTAGCTCTGGTGGCATAGTGTCTAAGGCATCTGACTGCTAACCAGAAGGTTGGTGGTTCAAACCCGTTAGCCACTCCAGGGAAGCAAGACTGGACAATCTGCTTCCGTAAAGATTTACCACCTCAGAAACCCAATGGGGGTCGCTATGAATCGGAATCAATTGGATGGCAGTGGGTTTGGTTTTTTATTTATACAGCTCTCACAAGGTGCCCAACTCCGAGCTAAGCCTCTGACACATACTTATTTCATCTTTGTGACAATCCATGTGGGTGAGCGTGATTATTATTCCCAATTCATAGCGGAGGAAACTGAGGCATAGAGAAGTAACCTGCCTAAGGCCACACAGAGGAAAGCTAGGAAGCCAAGATCCAAACTCAGTCTATCTGGTTTTAAAACCTGGGCTCTAACTTAAACAAGTGTTAATACTGTTTCCTGACTGAGGTGTAGTTCATATTTCATTCTGTATTTCATATCATAACTAGATAAAAGGTGTGAGCTCCATTTATGCGGCCATTGGGAGAGGTGTGCAGTCACATATCACTGCCCTCCAACCACAGACTACTAGGGATACACCTGTAGTTGACCAAAAAAACCGAAAACCCATCGCCATAGCAACCTTTTAGGACAGAGAAGAACTGCCTCATAGGGTTTCCAAGGCTGTAAATCTTTATGGAACCAGACTGCTTCGTCTTTCTCTGGAGGAGCAGATGGTGGGTTCTAATGGCCAACCTTTTGGTTAGCAGTCTAATGCTTTACCAAAACTGCACAACCAGAGGTCCTTGTATTTGAACAAGTTGGATTTATTTTCTCATAGCTGTGAAGGAGAACACATACCTTGGGGGATAGTGGGGCATCCCAGTAAGAAGGTGTTAGATTTATTATAGGATTTAGGCTTTGGTTTGGTGATTTTGGGGTGAGTTCAAAGAAGTGGATTGGGTGCTCTGAGGAAGTGGGGGTAACACCAGGGCCCAGCTGTGAGTGCCAGGACAGCTTCCAGGTGTTAAGAGCTGCTTTTCTCTTTCTTAGGTGAGTTGTATATTCCAAGCTATCCTAAGGAGAAATGATGAATAGATTGAAGGCTCTGCACTGGTAATGTAATCTCATATGTGTTTAAGAGTGTGAAGCATAATGATAACTTAGTGCAGGGGTTCTTAATTTGGGGGTTATGTGAACTTAGATGGGGAAAAAACACAGCTTTATTTTCACTAACCTCTAACTGAAATTTACTGTTTCTTTCAGTTACAGTGTAGGTAACAAAGCCCAGTAGTAGTAGTAGTACCTGTCACTTTTGTCATCAATAGAAAACACAGATATTTTCATATCACATTGCAAATCATGGCAGATATCTTAAACTATCATTTATGCTCATTCCTACTTTGTAAGTATAGTGGTTACTAGTTCTCCCTTTTAAAAATTTTTATTGTGATTTGGGTGAAAGTTTACGGAATAATTTCATTTTTCATACAGCAGTTCAGACACAATTTGTCTCATGACATTGACTGCAATTTCTCACAGTGTAACAGCTCTCTTCCCACTTCCTCCCCATAGTTACCTCTTCCCTGTTCGTTCCCTCCCATGCACTCCTGCCCCCTGAGCTGTCTCCTTGTGCATACACTGCCCTTCTGTTCTCCCATGATTGAGCTCTCCAAAGAATGTATCTATCTGTTGTAAAAGACCATATGCTGGTCTTTTATTTGTCTGGAAGCCACAGAACCAAACCAAAACCAAACTCACTGCTGTTGAGTTGGATCTGACTCAAAGAGACCCCTCCATTGGTTTACAAGCCAGTATCACTATGGAAGTAGATTGCCCCATTTTCCTTCTGAGGAGTGGCTGGTGAGTTTGAACTGCCAGCCTTCTGGTTAGCAGTCAAATGCCGTAGGCAACTATGCTACCAGAGCTCCTGGAAGCCACAGGAGTGAGTTCAATTCCACACCTGAAGAGCAGCTAGGGGCCATAGTCTCAGGGGTTTCACCAGGCTCTATCAGACCAGCAAGCCTGGTCTTTTTTTGTTGTTGTTGTTAAAATTTTTAGTTTTGTTCCTCATTGTTCTTCCACTCTATCCAGGTAGAGCTCCCATTTTATTTAATGCATAAACAGAGGAGGCACATATTATGTATCATAATTTTATTTTTTAAAATATTTTGACAACAATGTCAATATAATTGGCGTCCTTTGTAATCTTATGTATTTTATGCATTTTAAAAAAACATAATTCTTAGGAGTTATGGCACCAGAAGAAAATATAAAGAGCCCCTGGTTTAACAGAATAGATTAAGCAGTGACTAAGAATTTGGGACCTGCATCCAAATTGTATTAATGCTTCAAAGGCTGGAAAATTGGAGGTGGAATCAGATAATTTGTTATATACACCCTCTCAATTTACCAGAGAGAGAACAGAGCTACTGAGAGGTTAAGTCATTTGCTTCACGTCTCATAGCACTTTGATGATAAAATCTAGCTGAAAAATTTTCAGACAGGTATGTAAAAAATCTTCCACTCTGCTAGGTACTGGTGATTCTGTAGATAGCAAGATGCCTCCTGCCCTCAATGAGCTTGTTGGGGTGACAGCCAAGAAAGCAAATATAAACACAATATGAGAAGTACTGTAAAAGAAGTATGTACAGGGTATAATGGGACCTCAGAGAGAGGAGCAAGCAGTTCCGTTAAAAAAAAAATAGAACCTGGAAAATTCAGAGAAGAGGCATCAATTAGCTGGTGTGGTAGTTAAAGTTGTATGTCAACTTGGCTGGGCCTGGTTGAGTAGCTGGGCAGCTGGATGTAGTTCTTCCCCATGGTGAGATTGGTAATTAACTCCATGGTGGAATCTACTGGAGCAGCTTAGTAACTGCTTTAGGGATGTGGGCTGCTGCTGGTATATAAGAAGCAACTTTGAGGCGGGTCTCTAGCTCTTTAGCATACTTGAACCCTGCTTGTAGTCAAGTCGTTTTTCAACAGTCTGCCATGCCCTGCCGACCTTGGCACTTTTTCTGGACTTGAATTAGTGGCCTGCCGTGTTGTTTGCTAACATTGGGACTGTGCCTTTTTACTTGTCAGCCTTGGGCTGTCAGCCTCGGGAGCCAGTTGCCTGAGTGAAGAAAGCCTTCAGCTTGAGAGGGCTGGGAGCAGGAGGCAGAGCTGAAGCCCAAGGTCAAGGGGATTTCACCCAGGTCCTAGAGCCTGGCATTTTAGAGTCGGACTTAGAACTTCCAAAACCGTAAGAGAATAAATTCCTGTTTGTTCAACCCATCCCATTTGTGGTATCTCT